GCAAGACGTACTGTGAAATTAACTCGTTGGCTCGCGTAGTTTCCCCACGGTCTTCTCTTCACATAATAACCTTCCCACAACTTCTTCGTTTCGTCTCCCTAAACCAATAAATTACTTCAACCGTCTTCCTTCTTGATATTCATGATAATAGAAATTCAAAATATGCGAACTCTTTAATGGAGTTTTACCCGTTTTTCGTTTAGTGGCGTAACACTCTGTGAGAAACGCGATATTCGCGCTATGTGAAATATATTTTTCACTAGTGTTTTCCATATCACTAGGGTGGTGAAACTCGAATATTTCCGATTTTTACACTACTAATATAAACATGTTGTTATCATCTACATATTCAAAAAATATATTTCACGACTTGGGAACAGTGCAAAGATAGATTTCGATAAATGGCAACACCGAAAACCTGGACTAACGGCGCGGACTAAATCAGTTTAGGAAAATATGCACATATTGGTCAGCTGCGCGTGTTGGTGACCAAAATTTCGACAAATCCTCCGTGCGTTTAATCAGTGAGGGAAAAACTCCCGAGCTCAGGTGTGAAAAGCTGACATATATTCCTCCTCCACATGAACTTACCCCACCCTCACCAACATTGACACTCCTACTGCTAAGTTCTGGCAGACCCGCAAACCGAACTTGCTTGCTTCGTGGGGACGAAGATGCACTCACCTGAAATCAACTGTTTCTCATACAGATCCACTTCAGCAAAGTGTACCCAAGTGCTCATAGCACTATGAAAGTCGAAATTTCAGGAAAAAATTATCGCCATTAACTGCTGCTATCAGCAAAAAACTATTGAGTAAATTACTCTTCTTGTGATGAACCAATCCGATAATTATAATACTATTCCAGAGCGGGGAAGAAAATTTCATAAATTGCATTTTTTATTATTTTTCCATTTAAACTCGACACCCATAGTTCTGTACTACTCGAAAGCCCTTATTCAAAGGGCATTCACACGAAAGAGATTTAAGCAATTCAAATTATCAATCCTCGTTTCGTCCTCTGCATATCCGTAACTTTACGGTATGGGACTTAGACCGTAAAAGTGATTCGCCGTAACGGCCAGTAACGTAATCATGCTCATCTATGATTACGACAATTCCCAACTAGCCTCGGTCGCGAAATATTGAATTCACACATGATATTGTAATTATCTCTCACTGCTATTCTCAGGAAAATCCTCATAGTCAAGTCGCCTCTCACCTCAGAACCATCATCAGGATCTTCATAGTCTGTGTCCACAGACATAAATCGTTCCTTCTTGTCATCATCGAAATCATCATCATCCGAAAGCTCCTAAAACAAATTTTTCGAAGTAAGCCTCGGCTCACCTACTTACCCTCATACGTATTTCACTGCTACAATCAGAATCATAACTCCCAGACCTACCCGGCGGTCGCGGATAATCGCGCTGAACCAAAGACGGATAAAATTACCCCACTATAAACGGTTGCTCACCGATCGGTCAATCAGTCGGAATCCATCACCATCCTCCACATCCACGAACAGTGATTCATCTCGCGCCGCTTGAGCCAACTTTTCCGCAACTTTTTTACTGCGTCGTTTCTGCCTTCTATCGCGATACCACAACCACAGCGCCGCAAACATCGGCCCCGCAACAGGAATACACAGAATGAGCACCGTATACACGTCCGAGCCAGTGAAGACGAACCACACCAGAAGGCTGCAAAATATTATACCCATCTTTGGTAAGATTATAGCTCGCCATTTACTCCCTGCAGGAGCTCTCAACGCCATCAACGCCCCAAAGGTGAAGAACAACGTCAGTGCCACGATGATAAGGATAAGTATAGGGGACGATCCAATATCATTCGCGTTGTTTCCAGATGCAACCATTGGTCGTAAATCTAGCTTGTAAACTGAGCCCTGTGAAGCAGTAGTACTTATCACCAGCTACCATAATAATCACCACTCACTTTTTTCACCCTAGTGATATGAAAAACGTATTCCACGACAACTGCATATCACCGCGAATATCGCGTTTTTGATTATTTTCAAATACAAACACCCTGTATTTGCAAATGGAATAAACTAACAACTACAAACGAAGTAGAATTAATATTTTATTACCTTACCACAATTTCACCACATCACATACCACATACAAAAATGCTTCCGCATCAGCGGAA